ACTACCATACCTGGCTAATTTTTTTTTTCATTGTAGAGACGAGGTCTCACCAAGTTGACCAGGCTGGTCTCGAACCTGTGGCCTCAGGCAATCCACTTGCCTCGGCCTCCCAAAGTGCTGAGATTGCAGGCTTGAGCCACCATGCTTGGCTAAAAATAATTTTAAAAGCTGGAATGAATGGGTTTGTGGTGCTCAAAATTCTCATTTTAACAAATGAGAAAAATGAGGTTTAGAAAAGTTAAGTAAGTTGCCCAAGGCTACCTTCTTCACTAAGACCTGACCAAAAAAGAAAAGAAAAATTGCCCAAGGTCAAAAAACTAAGAAATGGCAGTTGATTCCAGATCTTCTCATCTAGAATTATCTCTTCCACATGCTAAAGCCTCATCTTCTCTGCTTCCCTTCCCTTTACTGTACAAACTGGTACACTGGTTTGTATTTATTGTGTATCACATATCACTTATCATTTGACCCATTAATTGTATAACACAGGGCCCCCTAATCCGTCATAGAGATGAATGAATGATGATTGGCCTCCTCTCCCACAAAGACCTAGTTCTTTCTCTTTACTGACACAACATTTTGGCACTAATCTCACCACAAGAGGCTCATTCAAGGGCTACTATGTATCACACTCATGATAGCTAGTGTTTCTGGAGCATTGACTTGGCATAATGCTAAACACCTGAGAGGTATCATGTCCTTATAGTCCCAGAACCTTTCTATGAGGTAGGTGCCATCATCCTCATTTGTGGATGATATCAATGTCTGCCGAATAGGGTTTGTGAGGAATAATAATAGCGACAATAATAGCTAACGCTTACATTTATTATTCGCCAGCCTTTGTTGTGAGCACCTTGCAAAAATGTTATTAACGCCTTTATCCTCAAAACAACCCTATGAGATAGATACTATGTTATCTCCATTCTATAGACAAGGAAACTGAAGTATCAAGTGTTAAGTGACTTCTAAATTCACACAGCAAGTATGCCGATGCCTCTACAATGCTTGTTAGCATGGTATCTAGCACATTTTATATATTCAGTAAATATAATCAATTCTTTCTCTTTTTTTCTTTTTTGAGTTGGGGGTCTCACTCTGTTGTCCATACTGGAGTGCAGTGGCACAATCATGGCTCACTGCAGCCTCAGCCTCCTGGGCTCAGGTGCTCCTTCTACGTTAGCCTCCCAAGTGGCTAGGACTACAGCAGGCACACACCACCACTCCTGACTGGTTTTTTGTAGAGACAAGGTCCTGCTATGTTGCCTAAGCTGGTCTCAAACTACTGGACTCAAGCAATCCTCCCACCTCAGCCACTCAGAGTGCTGGGATTACAGGTATGAGCCACCGTGCCTGGCCACCCTTTTCACTGAACATTTATAGTTCTGTGCTGAAAATTCAATTTCTGCCTCCAAGTCAGGCATTTTAGGTAGACTCACACCAACAGAATATTAGTGGATTAGTCTATTTTTTAAAGTTTTAATGACTACGTGATTTCCTGAAAAAAATCTTCAACAGTTTTGCTTCCGGTAGCAATTTCTTTTCACTAAGACTTCATCCATCAACAAGTGTTCCATATTGACAGATTGGCTTTGGTTACATTTAATACAAAACCTAAGTAAACAGTGGCTTCAGCAAGACAGGCATTTACTGAATCTCTTGTCAAATGAAGGCCAGAAAAAATAATTCCAGGAATGGCAAGGGTGCTAGGGCCAAGATCTTTGTTTCCCTTTGCCTCTCCCTTGTTGATTATAAAAATGACTGCTCAGCTCCAGGTGTCATGTCTGCATTCCAGACAGGAAAAAGAAATGGGCAAAGACAAGAATCTGAAGTGAAGTCCCTTTAAGGAAGACACCACTTACCACCATGTCCTGTGATAGGCCATCAATGCTGCTACAGCATTCGCCTACATCTCATTGCTGAGAACTCTCTGAAGGTCTCTCCTATTTGCAAGGATGGCTAGGAAATATCTTTTTGTTTTTAATCTAGGCATACTGTCACTGCAACAAAATGAGGAAGTGAGGAGGAAGGTGACAGCACCATGCAGTAGTGTGCTCCAAATGGCTAGTGTCGGCTTGTGAGAGCTGACGGTTCAATTTTGAGGGTTTTTTTGCAAGCTTGTTAAATGCATTGGGAGCTTGACATTGGCCAAGGCAGGAGTAGTGACACCACAGAAACTGACAAATACCAAAAATTAAGGCCCTGCCGCCTGTTGTGGAGAGCCAGGTGTTAAACTTTTACTAACACACCACTGAATGTTGGGTAGATAACTTGAAGTACCTGCTACTGAAGGCTTTTTATTTCATTGTATTAAATTCATCGATTCTTTCTTTTTCTTTCTTTCTTTCTTTTGTACTAATCTTATTTATTTATTTATTTATTTATTTATTTATTTATTGAGTTGGAGTCTCACTCTATCACCCAGGCTGTAGTGCAATGGCACACTCACAGCCACCCCAGAATCACCTTGCTGGGCTCAGGCTGGAACTACAGGTGCGCTACACGCCTGGCTAATTTTTTCATTTATTGTGGAGATGAGGTCTCGCCAAGTTGCCCAGGCTGGTCTCAAACCCACGGGCTCAGGCCACCCACTTGCCTCAGTCTCCCAAAGAGCTGGGATTACAGGCTGAGTCACTGAGCCCGGCCCATCGGTTATTTCTGATTGTAGTGGTTAAGACCCATTGACACTTAGTCATCTTTTGAAGTATTCGGTGTACAAAAAATAATCCCCTTCTTTTTATTCCATAAAGGCGTTAGGAGTACCTATTTATATTGATTTCTTTTTTTTTCTTTCTGCAGAGAATGCACAAAGTGTTCTTTTGTAGTAAGTTAGGAGAGTCGGAAAATGATTGTAAATTTCTGTTCACGACATTTGAGAGATTTTATTTGAAAATATTCTGTTCTGGTGAGATTCAGACATGTTCAGAAATAGCCTCTCAATTCTGTATTTGAGGTAATTTTCATTTCAAGTGGTTGCTAAGACAATCTGCTTTTCTAAGGTATAATTTTACTGAGGTATAAAAATATGCCTTAAAATATTTTCTTCTCTTAAAATTTAATTATGAAAAAAAGAGTAAAATGAAATGTTGTCTCCTCCTGGTTATAAAAAAGGGTCAATGGTTTTTCATGGTTAAAAAGGAGGGAAACTTTCTAGACAGGTCTTTTCCCCTTTTCTTTTGAATACAAACAGGTACAAACACTGCACTGACAAGGACAAATAATACCTTCCCTCTAGCTTGAAAGGAGCAATAAAAAGAATGAGTTCAGGACCTGAGCCAGAAACTGAGAAGTAAGCCGCAAGGGTTTGTGAACATGAACCTGCTGAAGGGGTTTTGCCTCCAAGATAGTATTTAAGAGCTGGGTGTGGTGGCTCATGCCTATAATCCCAATGCTTCAGGAGGCCAAGATTGGGAGGATTGCCTGAACCCAGACTGGGCAACATAGGGAGATTCTGTCTTATTTCAAATCAAAGAGTTAAAAAAAAAAAAAAAAAAAAAAAGATAGTATGTATGGTATTTAGAAATGAGCACTGGAAACAGTCATGTGTCCATTAGAGTTGCTACATGTACCTTAGAAGTTTCTTTTTTTTTGAGTCAGAGTCTCACTTTGTTGCCCAGGCTGGAGTGCAGTGGCATGCTGCTCATGCCTACTGCAACCTCAACCATCAGGGCTCAGGCGATCCTGCCATCTCAGCCTTCCAACTGGAACTACAGGCTTGTGCCACCATGCCCAGGTAATTTTTTAATTTATTGTAGAGATGAGGTCTCGCCTTCTTGCCCAGGCTGGTCTCGAATCTGTGGACTCGGGCAATCCTCTTGCCTCCGCCTCCCAAAGTGCTGGGATTACAGGTGTGAGCCACTGCACCCGACTTCTATCTACTTATAAAGCAAAGGTTATTTTTTAAAAAAGGAATCAAAGAATAGAAACTTAAAATGAAACAAATGCCAGTCAAATGTCAACCTGTCAGTCAAGCCTGAGACACAGAGAGGAATTAGTTCAAATGATTTTAAAAATACAATAATCTGACAGTAAATATTTTGGGGGGATAGAATCTAAGGAAAAAAAGAATAAAAAAAAAAAGAAAAATGATTTTCAGGAGTCATGTTATTAATAATATCTGGCATTTGACATTTGAAATTATTATACAAATGTGCAGTCATGTGCCACATAATGACATTTCAGTGAGTGAAGAACCACACATATAACAGTAACTCCACATAAGATTATAATGGAGCTGAAAAATTCCTGTCACCTAGTAACACTGTTGCCATCCTATGTCATAGTGGTAATGCATTACTCACATGTTTGTGGTGATGCTGGTGTTAACTGACTATGCTGCCTGTTGTATAAAAGTATACCACATGCAATTATGCACAGTATAATAATACTTGATAATAAAAGACTATGTTATGAGTTTATATATTGACTATACTATACTTTTATCATTATTGTAGAGTGTACTCCTTCTACTTATTAAAAAAAAAAAAAAACCAAACAGTAGCTGTAAAACAGCCTCAGGCAGGTCCTTCAGGAGGTAGTCCTCAAGAAGGCATTGTCATCATAGGAGATGACAGCTCTCTGCGTGTTACCATGCCTAAAGACTTTCCAGTGGGACAAGATGTGAGAGTAGAAGGCAGTGATATTGATGATTCTTACCCTGTGTAGGTCTAGGCCAATGTGTGTGTTTGTGCTTTGGCTTTTACCAAAAATAAGTTTAAAAATAAAAATAAACATTTTTTAAATAGAAAAGAGCTTACAGAATAAGAATATAAAGAAAGAGAATATTTGTGTACGGCTGTACAATGTGTTTGTGTTTTATGCTGTTATTACAAATGGATCAAATAGTAAAAGAAAATGGTAAGTTTATAAAGTAAAGATGTCACAGTAAGCTAAAGTTAGGTTATTATTGAAAAAATATATTTCCCCTGGTGTGATTCTGTCCTGAGCAGCTGTTCTTCAGAGCAATAGTAGTTTGCCTCCGTTCACCTTCTCTCCCACCTAAGTGCGTGCCACCACCCCACGGAAGATTCAATGGACATGGATGTGAGCCCCCTGAGGCCCCAGAACTATCTTTTCAGTGGTGAACTAAAGGCCGGCAAAGATGATCACTTTAAGGTGGATAATGATGACAATGAGCACCAGTTTTCTTGAAGAACAGTCAGTTTAGGGGCTGGTGCAAAGGATGAATTGCACATTGTTGAAGCAGAGGCAATGAATTATGAAGGCAGCCCAATAAAAGTAACACTGGCAACTTTGAAAATGTCTGTGCAGCCAACAGTTTCCCTGGGGGGCTTTGAAATAACATCACCCGTGGTCTTATGGTTGAAGTGTGGTTCAGAGCCTGTGCATATTAGTGGACAGCACTTAGTAGCTGTGGAAGAAGATGCAGAGTCAGAAGATGAAGAGGATGAGAATGTAAAACTCTTAAGTATATCTGGAAAGAAATCTGCTCCTGGAGGTGGTGGCAAGTTTCCTCAAATAAAAGTAAAGCTTGCTGCTGATGAATTTGATGATGATGATTTTGATGATGAGGAAACTGAAGAAAAAACTCCAGTGAAGAAATCTATATGAGATACTCCAGTCAAAAATGCACAAAAATCAAACCAGAATGGAAAAGACTCAAAACCATCAACACCAAGATCAAAAGGTCAAAAATCCATCAAAAAACAGGAAAAAACTCTGAAAACACCAAAAGGACCTAGCTCTGTAGAAGACATTAAGGCAAAAATGCAAGCAAGTATAGAAAAAGGTGGTTCTCTTCCCAAGGTGGAAGCCAAGTTCATCAATTACGTGAAGAATTGCTTTCGGATGCCTGACCAGGAGACAATTCAAGATCTCTGGCAGTAGAGGAAATCTCCTTAAGAAAATAGTTTAAACAGTTTGTTAAAAGTTTTCCATCTTATTTCATTTCTGTAACAGTTAATATCTGGCTGTCCTTTTTATAATGCAGAGTGAGAACTTTCCCCATCATGTTTGATAAATGTTGTCCAGGTTCCATTGCCAAGAATGTGTTGTCCAAAATGCCTGTTTAGTTTTTAAAGATGGAACTTCACCCTTTGCTTGGTTTTAAGTATGTCTGGAATGTTATGATAGGGCATAGTAGTAGTGGTGGTCAGACATGGAAATGGTGGGGAGACAAAAATATGCACGTGAAATAAACTCAGTATTTTAATAAAGTAAAAAAAAGGAAAAATATATTTTATAAATTCAGTGTAGCCTAAGGGTACAGTGTTTATAAAGTCTACAGTACTAAACAGTAATGTCCTAGGCGTTCACATTCACTCTCCACTTACTCACTGACTTATCCAGAGAAACTTCCTGACTTGCAAGCTATGTTCACAAGTGCTCTCCACAGGTGTACCATTTTAAAAATCTTTCATATTATATTTTTACTGCACCTTTTCTATGTTTAGACATGCTTAGATATAGATAATTATCATGGTGTTACAATTTTCTATGAAATTTAGTACAGGAATACTCTGTGCAGGTTTGTAGCCTTGAAGCAATATGCTCTACCATATTGTCTAAGTGTGTAGTAGGCTATACCATCTAGGTGGGTGTATACTCTGTGATGTTCACACAATGAAGACACTGCCTAAAAATGCATTTCTCAGAATGTATCTCATCATTAGCAACACATGACTGTATAACAAGTAGGAACGATTTTAACATTGTTATAAACCAAGATTTTCAGCACAAGAGAAAAGCAATACAAGTACAAATTTAAATAATTTAAAACTATTTTAATCTTAATTTTTAACTGAGAATATCAGTATGAACTCATGATATACTTTGTTTAAAAATACAAATTCCCAGCCGGGCTTGGTGGCTCAGCCTGTAATCCCAGCACTTTGGGAGGCTGAGGCAAATGGATTGCCTGAGCCTGTGGGTTCAAAACCAACTGGGCAACTTGGCAAGACCTTGTCTCTACAATAAGTCAAGAATTAGTCAGGTGTGGTAGCATGTGCCTGTAGTTCCAGCTACTTGGAAGGTTGAGGCAGAATGATCACTGGAGCCCAGTCAGTTGATGCTGGGGTGACCATGCCACTGCACTCCAACCTGGGCAACAGAGTAAGACTCCAACTCAAAAAAAACCCAAAGGAAATACAAATTCCCTGTCTTTATTGATGAAAATGTTCCAAAAACAATTACCAATGCAATAGCAATGAGCACCTTTCACACCAAGATTGTGGTCTCTAAATATCATTGCCTGTTAAAGTAAACTAGTACTTTTTGAATAAATAACTGATTTGTATCTGGAACAATAAATGCATAAGATGACTATTGATCATCTTGTCAAACCCAGCTAATTTTTAAAATTTTTTGTAGGACAAAAGATATGAATAGGCATTTCTCAAAAGAAGACATATGAGCAGCCAACAGATACATGAAAAAATGCTCAACTTCACTAGTCATCAAAGAAACGCAAATTAAAACCACACTGAGATACTACCTAATGCCAGTCAGGATGGCCATCATCAATAACTCAAAAAACAACAGATGCTGGAGAGGATGCAGGGAAAAGGGAGCACTTCTACACTGTTGGTTGGAGTTTAAATTAATACAACCTCTGTGGAAGACAGTTTGATGATTTCTAAAAGGTCTAAAAAGTGACCTTCCATAAGACCCTGCAATCCCTCTCCTGGAAATATAACCAGAGGAACTCAAAATCACTCTATGAAAAAGATACATGCACACGCATGTTTATTGCAGCTTTGTTCACAATAGCCAAAACATGGAACCAACAATGCTGCCCATGAAAAGAAGACAGGATTAAAAAGTGTGGTGCATATACATGATGGAATATTACACAGTCAAAAAGAAGGACAAAATTATGAACTCTGCAGCAACTTGGATAGACTTAGAGTCTATAATACTGAGTGATCTATCACAGAAACAAAGAATGGAGTATCACATGTCCTCACTAATAAATGGACCTTGAACAATTATTGTAGTACTATAAGAAAAGGATTGACAGTGGTGGGAAATTCCTGGGTGGGGGCCGGGTGGGATTGGCAGTAGTGAGATTCTGCTGGGGGAGGGGAGGTACACCTCATCTACAAGGGTATGTGCATAATGAACATTTCTGTACTTACCCCTGAATTGTACCCCCACATCTCTGAAATTAAAAAAAAAGAGAGAGATTTTTTTTTTTTGGTAGAGACAAGTTCTTGCTATGTTATCTAGGCTGGTCTCAAACTTCCGGGCTCAGGTGATCCTCCTGCCTTGGCCTCCCAAATTGCTGGGATTACAGGCATGAGCCACCATGGCTGGTCATCTTCAATATTTTTTATAATACCATGTATGTAAATTTGCATACCTGTCATTGTCCACAGCACACTATAACAGAGGAATGTTTCAATGACTCTGGAGCTGTGAGGTTTGACAATTTGTGAACTCATCCTAGAAAAAGTGCTAATACTTCATTGCTGAATATCATTATGGTCACCTTCAAAGTACTTCCCTTGGGAAGCTATGTACCTACGCCAGTGCCCAGTTCTCCCATCAAAGCAGTTTTGGAACTCTTTTTCTGGACTGCCCATCAGAGCTGTCATCACAAGAATGTCAGAATTTGAATTAGAACAACAAACAAACATTAAATTTCTTGTTAAACTTGGCAAGAATGGAAGAGAAATTAGGGACATGTTAGTCTAAGTTTATGGCCATGAAGAAAACAGTAGTATACAAATGAATTTGACATTTTTCTGAGAGGAGAGAAAGCATCACTGATGAAGCAAGGTCAGGATAACCAGTAATGAGCAGAAGTGACAAAAACATTGCAAAAATTCATTGAAGTGTGTGTCAAAATTGTTGGCTAATACATAGCATAGCAGACTAAATAAACATCGATAGAGAAACAGTTAAGAAAATCTTAACTGAAAATCTTAGCATGAGAAAAGTGTGTGCAAAAATGGTCCTGAAGGAGCTCTTGGATCAAGACAATGCACCAGATCACACATCACTGTCTGTGAGGAAGTTTTTAGCCAGTCAACAAGTAACTGTATTGGAACACCCTACCTACTCACCTGATCTGACCCCCAATGACTTTTTTCTTTACCCAAAGATAAAGGAAATGTTGAAAGGAAGACATTTTGATGACATTCAGGACATCAAGGGTAATATGACAATGGTTCTGATGGTCATTCCAAAAAAAGAGCTTCTTTTTTTTTTTGAGTTGGAGTCTCACTCTGTCACCCAGACTGGTGTGTAGTGGCCGCTCCCAGCCACCGCATCCTCAACCTGCTGGGCTCCAGCGATCCTTCTGCCTCAGCCTTCCAAGTAGCTGGAACTGCAGGCATGTGCCACCACGCCCAGCTAATTTTTGATTTATTGTAGAGATGAGGTCTCACCAAGTTGCCCAGGTAGGTCTCAAACCCACGGGCTCAGGCAATTCACTCACCTCGGCCTCACGAAGTGCTGGAATTACAGGCTGAGCCACCGAGCCCGGCCCAAAAAAAGAGTTTCAAAATTGCTTTGATGTGTAGACTAGGTACTGGCATCACTGCACAGCTTTCCAAGGGGAGTACTTCAAGGTGACCATAGTGATATTCAGCAGTGAAATATGTAGCACTTTTTTAAGAATGACTTTGTAAACTTAATTGTCGAACCTCGTAGATTAGCCGTGTGAACTTGGGCAAGAAACACATTCTTTGCTTCTTCACCTATGAAATGGGTTCACAGTGCCCACATTGTAAGCTTGTCAGAGTGACATATATACAGCACTTCATATAGAGCAGGCTCTTGAGGAGAGCTCACTGTCACCTATTTTTATAAATTGTCTTTATGTGTACTGTCTTCTCACTAGATTCTGAGCTGTTTGAGGGCTGTAATGTGTTCAAAACACCTACCACAGTTTCTGCCACATAGCACGTGCTCAGTAAATAGTCATAAATGAATTAATTTTTTCCCCACATTAATTTAAATTCAGGCCAGGCTTGGTGGCTCAGCCTGTAATCCCAGCACTTTGGGAGGCCCAGGCGAGTGGATTGCCTGAGCCCGCAGGTTTGAGACCAGCCTGGGCAACTTGGTGAGACCTCTTCTCTATAATAAATCAAAAAATTTAGCCGGGTGTAGTAGTGCATGCCTACTTGGAAGGCTGAGGTAGAAGAAGTGCCAGAGCCAATGGTCGACGCTGGGCTGGCTGTGAGTGTGCCACTGCCCTCCAGCCTGGGTGACTGAGTAAGACCCCAACTCAAAAAAAATATATTTTTAAATTCAAATGGGTAGGTCTCTTTCTAAGTTTCTGTTGTGAAGTGCTTAATACATTGCTTATATTTTACATATATAAAAACAAAAAGCAGCCAGGCTCGGTGGCTCAGCCTGTAATCCCACTCCTTTGGGAGGCTGAGGTGAGTGGATTGTCTGAGCCCGTGGGTTCGAGACCCACCTGGGCAACTTGGCGGGACCTCATCTCTACAATAAATAAAAAAAATTAGACGGGCATGGTAGCGTGTGCCTGTAGTTCCAGCTACCTGGAAGGCTGAGGTGGAAGGATCGCCAGAGCCCAGCAGGTCGAAGCTGCGGTGGCCGGGAGCAGCCACTGCACTCCAGTCTGGGTGACAGAGTGAGACTCCAACTCGAAAAAAAAAAAAAAAAGCATACTAAAATCTTTGTTGTAATTTAGTACATGCTAAGTACTTGTAATTTGTTGAATTTATTCTACCTGTGTATATTTTCTTTCTTTGTTTTCCCCCTGGAGTCAGAGTCTATCTGTCTCCTACGCTGGAGTACAGCGGTGTGACTGTAACTCACTGTAACCTTGAACTCTTGGACTCAATCCTCCCTCCTCAGCCCCCTGAATAGGTAGGGTTATGGGTGTGTGCCACCACATTCAGCTATTTTTATTTATTTAATTTTTATTTTATTTTTTTGCACTTATTTATTTTGCAACAGCTGCTTTTTTTTTTTTTTTTTTTTTTTGGGTAGAAATGGATCTATGTTGTCCAAGCTGGCCTGGAACTCCTGACCTCACCAAACCTCCTATGTCGGCCTCCCAAAGTGCTAGGCTACAGGTGTGAGCCACCATGCCGGCCTCTGTCTACATCTTCTTAATGTCAATTAAGCTAATTGTGTAAAATAATCTCATTACCTATTACATCACTGGCAACATTGCTGTGCAGACATCTAGAGAGTCTTTTCACTAACAAGGAAATGCACATACATTGTAAAACAGTGTTAAT